TACAAGTGAGAGATGACTTGATTGTTGAAGCGTTTCCAGTTTAGATTGGTGAACGAGGAGTGAAGCAACTGTGAGGTAAAGAGATTGTCTGGGTAAAAGTATTGTGGGGAGGACCAGCTGGAGAAAGTTGGATTTGGGAGCGTGGAGATCAGTTGAGGGAGTCGTATCCGGATCTGTTTCCTCGAGGTAATTTTCGAGGGTGAAAAATCTTTTAAGTGGGGGAGAGTTGTAACACCCCAAATTTTGTTAGAATATTTATTTAATTTATTTAAATAAGAATATTCGCATTTTGGTGATTTTCGGGGATTGTTGTGGAATATTGAGAATTATAAGTTTTTGGGATATTTAAATAATAGTATATAATATGAAAATATTAGTATTATTATTAATTTAAATAAATATAAGTGAAAGAAGAGCAAATTGGACAATTAAGAAGAGTTAGTGAGGATAGTATTGGAAAAGCCCAATTGTGAGGCCTAAGACTAGGTTTAACAAAAAGGAAATTGTGATGGAATTAGGATTCATTTGTTAGACCGTGAACAGAATTGAGGCCAGAGCTCTGAGGAGGGAGAATTGGAGACAAAAGCTTTGGAAGGTTCCCGGAAATATTTGAGAAGCCTTTGATCGACAATTAAGGTACGAAGAGTATTACCTTCATGATTTTCCATGTGTAAATTCAATGTATTTAAGGTCGATTTAAGGGTTAAGGGTTTTGAGGGTGGATATGAGAAAAAGGGATTTTGGCCTTCGTGGCCTAAATCTGTTATTAGTGAATCTAACTGTGGAATTCATTGGGGAAAAAGGAAAGTTAGGCCTTCGTGGCCAAAAACTATGATTTGACATTTATCTGACCCTGAAGGGATAGGAATATTAGATATGAGTAATTCTAATTATTATAGGTAATTGTAGGGAAATTTATGATTTAGGGCGTGAATATGATACGAGATTGGCCTAATGAACCGTAAGTTTTGTTCCTTTATCGCTGTAAGATCTTAGGGATGATGTAGAGATGTTTGGGGGGCATTGGGAAAGTGAATCGTGTGAATTTTAGGATGATTTAAGGTTTTGGTGCGTAGCTGAGTTTTGCTGTCATCGCGCTGTTCGCCTAGCGAATAATGCTTCGCACAACGAACGATTTGGTCCCAGACTCGCCTAGCGAAGAATCCTTCGCACAACGAAGAAACTGGCCCCAGACTCGCCTAGCAAACTTGTCAGCGAACGTAGCAGAGTTTCGCGAATGCTGATTTTGTGCAACGATGCCTTGATGTTTTGATGCTATGATATTTGTGATGAATTAACATGAGTAAGACTGTGAATTCTATGTGATTAATATGCGATAGTATGATGATTACCAAGAGTATAATTGTGAATTCTATGTGATTAATATGTGATAATATGATGAATTAACATGAGTATGACTATGAATTCTATGTGATGTGTACATGATTATATGATGATGAGCTATGATGATATGATTTTGATGATGATGATGATTATGATGATGAGCTATGATGATATGATTTTGATGATGATGATTATGATGATGAGCTATGATTAAATGATTTTGATGATGTTGATGATTGACAACAAGTTAGATATGAGCCTTGCCAAGAATTTAGTGTTGCATGGAAGGAGAAAACACATTGACATAAAGTTTCATTTTCTGAGAAAACAGGTTTAGAATGGAATGCTTGTAGTTGTGCAATGTAGCACTCAAAAGCAACCGGCATATGTGCTTACCAAAACAATCAAGATTGAACATTTTATCCAATTGAGGGATGAAATTGGTGTTACTGATTATAGTTCTGAATACAAATTAAGGCGTTATATTGAAGTGTAATCCCAAATTCAATTAGTATTTCATTTAAGTTTTATTTGAGTTTAATTTGAATTGCATTTAGTTTGAATGTGTACATATAATTAGAAGCTGATTTTTCAGTTGTAACAAAATTTCAGTGTAATCTCTGAGATGGAGAAAGAAAAAAAACTTCACATTTGAAAATAAATAATTTGTCGCTAAAATAAAGACAATTATTGATTATAAAATAATAATGTTTTTGTTATAGATAAATTTTGTGTTTTAAAAATTCAACATTTTTCTGTGTTCTTCTTCATTAAATTAAAAAATGATTTAAATCTTTTTATTTATACTTAAAAAATAAAATAGAAAAAAGAAAATGAGGTGAGAAAAATTTAAAATAAAAGCGAGAAAGTGTGAGAAAAAGAAATGCGGAAAAAATTTGAAATTTGAATTAAGAGAAAAAAAAATAAAAAAGTTAAAAGTAAAAAATAAAAAATAAATGAGGTAGGAAAATGAGATACTTTAAATTTTTTTTATAGTATTTATCAATTATAAATATATTTTTTTTGTTAGTACAAGTTTTTAGAAAAGAAAAAAATATATTAAAATGTTTGATGATTGTTTATTTTAATGAATAGATAGTGGGATGTTGTTGGCTTTTTCACCCTTAATATTTGTCTAAACCAATAGCCAACTTATTTCGTAAGTGTAAAAGAAAAAGCAAAACATAACTTTATAAATACAGCCAATTGAAATTCTGTGATATGAATAATCAATATAAATAAAAGCTAAATGTTCAATTGCATCAAGAAAATAATACAGTAGGAATTTTGATTGAATTTTCTTTGGGAGTGTTTGGAGTGTGGTTCTTGCATGGGTATTTTTTACGCATTAACAAATGATTCTAACAAGCATATTATTCTATCATGTTTTTAACAAATGATTCTAACAACCTTATTATTAATATTTTTATTATTTTTGTATTTTGATATTTTGATCGACTTAGTTTTTTACATAGCCTGTTGTTTTTTTAATAAGTCAATAGTATATTAGTCAAAGATATTAGGAGTATTTTAATCCAACAAAACAACCAACAATACACTAAGTTAAACTATCCTTTACAAAATAAATCAAACCGATACATATGTTATTCATATAAACATATGACCCTTAAATAAAACTAAAATTCACCACCAATATAAAATACTTAATTCGCATGAGAACTAAATTCGGATCAACAATCTCATCTTTAAAAATAATATTGTTTCTATCCCTCCAAACATTTCAACACACCACCAACCATAGACTACAAGCTAAATTATTGGAAATCCTACCATTAAAACTTAATATTCAGGAAAGAAGATGTTTGGATATCAAAGTTTCGTGAACTTCCTCAATTTCCAATCAAATGTAAACCTTATGCCAAACAACCAAAGTCTTAGGACAAAAGGTGAATAAATTACTAACGCCCTTCATGTTGTGAATCAGATACCTTTAAACAAAGTATAAACGGTTTCTTAATGATCAAGAAACACACAAGGGTTATGATTAATAAAGAAAACAAGGTAAAACAATAAGGAACAACAAGGATTGATTATAAATTGTCATTCTTTCCTTTCTCTTAGAACAAGATTACAAGTATAAAAGAATAACAAATAACCTCTCTCTCTTGATACTAGTATTTTATCTTCCTATTTTTTCTTATGTCAAGATTGAGAAACTAGCATCCTATTTATAAGAAAAATAACACATTTCAACATGCTAACTTAGGGTACAAGCTAACTTAAACAATTGGTCTTACAAGCAAGGCCAAATTCAACATGCTAACAACCCTAGCAATATTGACTAATGCATGTTAGAATAAACTTTGACTACAACACACATTACTTTAACAGCAGCATGCAAATAGACTTCGATCTCATGCTTAATACTTGTCGAACTAGAAGCTACCCTTTGACCATACTAGAGTTTGATCCAATATCTCACACTCCAAATATTGAAAACAAAGAACACAAACAATACCGTGCGAATTTTTCAAAATTCCACGACGAAGAAGGTTCCCCCTCGTGGCGAATCTATCCCGTAACAGTCTCCAATCAAACAGTTTAGCCTTTAATGAAATTAAAGCTTTCCAAATGTAATGCAATGATGTCGCCAAAAAATCATCATCTTGTATAACTCCACTTGCCACATATTTTAACTTGGAATTAAAGGATTTGACGGAAAAAAAGGTTTAAGGAACCTAAAGGCCACAACACAGTATCCAGACCATTCATAACAGGAGTAACATCCTGTAACATCTCCATTAGATCATTAAACTCATTAGCCATGCTTGAAGAAGGAAGCGGTTGCTGGAAATCTCACTTCCACGACTAGAATGAACCATGTCAAACACCCATATATGCTACCATACACTGCCGAGTAGAATCGTACAAGAACAACCCTGGAAACATATTTTTCAAAATATCACTACCCACCCATCTGGCCGTTTAAAACGGAACTGAAGCTCCGCCCTCCAATGTAATTGTAATACATTCCATAAATGACACAGGTTGAATACTAGAGTTGATTCTCATAAGATCCTTCCACCATTGAGAATCATGATTGTTAGCTTCATAAACCTCCCTAGATAAAATAAACTTTGAATAATCGCCATATTTTTCACGCAACACCTCACTCCAAATAGCATCTGGTTCATTAAGGAGACGCCAAAGCCATTTTGCCACAACTGCCGAGTTAAACAATCTCAAGTCCTTCACACCTAAACCCCCCTCATCCTTTGGCTTACAAATAGACTCCCAAGACACCCAAGCCATTTTCTTCTTCTCTTTCGGCCCATGCCCAAAAAAAATTCATTGAATAAATATGAGCTGCTCCAAAACATTCCTTGGTACCTTGAAAAAAACAAGAAGTGAATTGGAAAATTTGTCAACATATAATTAATCAAAGGAACCCTTCCACCGATAGATAGAAGTCTCCCTTCCAAGTTGACAATCTACTTTTGAAACATTAAACGACTGGTTTCTAAAAGTACACCCTACGATGTTTATCACCAACCTTTAGACCAAGGAATTTAAATGGTATGTGATAATCTTCAATACAAACACCATATAAATAAATTTTTCCGGTATTAACTTTCAGCCCCGATATCATCTCAAAACCCTTCAAAATTGCCTTAAAAGCCCATACGTTTTCCCAATCACCATCGCTCAAATGGATGATATCCGTCTGCAAATTGTAAGAGGTTGTAACTAGCACCGTCATTAACCTTAAAGCCCTTAAGCAATCCCATATTAGAAGCCCTATTCACCATTTTAGCAAAAGCTTCCGTGACAATTGAAAAGTGGAAAAGAGGCATAGGATCTCTTTGCCTCAATCCGTGATAAACCCGAAAATCTTCCGTTGGACTTCCATTTACTAGGACCGACATAAAACTCGTAAAAACCCCTCCTTCCAACCATCCCATCCACCTCTCCCCAAAACCCATTGCCAACATCATTTACCAAAAAAAAACCAATTCACACAATCGTAAGCCTTTGAAAAATCTACCTTGAATAAGACACAAAATTTCCTCCTTTTTTCCATATCAATTAGTTCATTCAAAACTGCCACCTCATCTAATAACTTCCTACCCAGAATAAAAGCCGTTTGATTATTCTAAATAAGCTTCTCCATAAAACACCTCATTCTAGCATCCAACCATTTTGATATAACTTTGTAAACATAACCGACAAGACAAATAGGTCAATAGTTGTCAAGAGATTAAGAGCTATCAATTTTTGGTATCAAAGTAAGAAATGATGAAGACATCACTTTAGGTAAATGAGTAGTAGTATGGATTTCTTGAACACACCGCACAAAATCATGCCTAATAACCTCCCAACTTTTTTGACAGAACCCCATGCTGAATCCATCTGGTTCAGGACTTCTATTACTAGCACAACCAAACATTATCTCCCTCATTTCCTCCTCCTTAAACACACCTTCCAAAAAACACCTATCATCTCCAGATAATCCATCCAAATTGTCAAAATAGAAATTAGGCCTAGTTCCACATAAGCTTCAAAACTGGTTAAAAAAATGGTTTTTGACAGACTGTTTGATAATACTAACATCCTTCACAACTTTTGAACCCACCCTTAGTAAGGTAATAGAATTCCTCATGCCTCGATGTTTAAGTATACTATGAGAAAACTTTGAATTTTGTTCCCCTTTTTTTTATCCATTTGACTCAAGTTTTTTGGTGAAGCATACTCTCTTTAGTGTGCAATTTTTCCCAGAATTGTTGCTGCACATTGCTCCTAACTGCCAGATCCTCCAAAGTCACACCAAAATCATTCTCAGAGAAAGCCAACTCAACGTTATTCAAACTATCAGCGTAGCCATCAATTTGAAGATCTACACGACCAAATACATTTGTATTCCACCAACACAATCTCTCCCGAAGCAATTGGAAATTTCTGTTAAGAATATGGGCCGCACTACCATTCACGATAAAAGAGCTCCAGTCATGTTGAACAGAGGGCGTAAAATCGGGGTGATCATACCAACATTCAAAAACCTCGAAAGACTTTGGACCCCAAATGATATTCCTACATTTAATCCACATCGGGCGATGATCCGAAATATCTTGATCCCCTACAGATTGATGAATAGTATTCCATACATTAATCAAATCCAATGAAATAATAAACCTGTCAAGCCGACTCATGATAGAACCACTAGAATTGCACTATGTAAATTTATTACCCGACAACGGCAAATCCACGAGACCCATTGCTGAAATGAAATCATTAAAGTCATACATTTCACCATTGTTCAATACCCTACTACACCTTCTTTCCTCCTGATTTTTGGTAGTATTGAAGTCACCACCAACCACCCAACTCCTATATGGAAGTCTTGTTTTAAGCTCAACGAGATCAACCCACAATCTTCTTTTTTCGCTTAAACGACATGAAGAATATATATTAACAAAGTACACCTTTCTACTCCTCCATAATGCATTAACACACAAATATTCGATACCCTTATAGCTGCACATTGGTGTTAAAGAATTCAATTCGTCATTATCTTACATTTTGATTCTTTAATGAAGCAGACATCAGCCCCTCCTTTAGAAATTATATGACAAATTCTCCTCCTCTTTAACTTGCTACCACACCATATAACATTAAAAGTTATAAAATTCATTGACACTTGTTTGTTGCCTCCTTCTGAACATCAAACTCTATCCTTTATGAATCTTCCATGTTCCTGATAATACCTTCGAAGAATTCATCATCTTCCTCACCCTCAATGCCCATTTTCTTAATGGATTTCCAAACTTTTCTTGGAATATCTTCAATACACCTTCGGATACAAATATTACTCTATTTCACATCTCCATCACTAATGGAATCACAACATAAGACAAAATCGCCTGAATATTTAGAATTAGAATCTTCTAAGTCAACAATAGGGATACTAGGATTACTAAAATTAGGTTCAAGAATTGGGATTTTATCAGAATGGATAAGCGAAGTAAAATAGGATGGGGAGAAAGGAATTTTCAATTTTCCTAAAATATCATTAGTAGAATTTTTCCTTTTGGGATTCTGACACTCAACAGGGACTCCTAGCCCAACATCAGAACTAATAATAAGCTCAAAATCCATATTGTTTCTCGCTAAGCCTAACAAATCAGGCCCAACTTCCTTATTTGTGATCCTTATGGCTTCTACTCCTCCTGCACCTAGATCCCTTTGATTCACAATAGAGTCCACAATCCTCAATGTGTCATACTTATCTCCAATTAAAAAGTTGTTTGACTTACTACAACACGCCAAGTTGTTCAACTTGTTAGAGTTATTAAAGCCAAAGTTCACCCTTTTACTCAAATCTCCTCTATTTGATTCAACCCCCCATATTGAAACATCATCAATCACATTAGACAACCCCATCTCTTTACTATTATCTTTTCCAACCAGATCTGTTGTACCATCTGTCTCGACACCAACAACCTCGTTAACCTCGTGATTAGTCCCATCAAAGTGCTGAAAGCTTTATTATCCTTTCTCCCCATCCTCAGACAACCTCCAATCATCTTCGATACCTCTACCGCTACCTCCTCCATCATCGTCATCCCCTTCATTATCAGACTCACTCACCTCCACTCAACTATCCTCTAACACCAACCTCTTTGGACCATGGAAATCTTCCAATAATTTGATACTGTAAATATCATCATTTACACCAATATTAAAACTCTCATTTAAGCATATAGAATATTTGGTTTTAACCGAACCTGGCTATATCAAATTTCTCCATGTTTTTAGTTTCTTTATCACAATTGATGAATTGTCCAACACATCCAGATATGAGTTTGAATAATTCTGAAAACTTTTCTTCATCTTTTTCTAAACTTTGAGTTCTCTAAAAGAGTATTTTCCCCCCTTTCGCTGGGAATGCGACTGTCTGATGATATTGAGGTGTTCGATTGAATTTTTGAATCACTCTTGAACAAATAGAGTTATATAGGTTAATTGGTGGAGAAATTGATGTGAAAAATCTGACAAACCAAGAATAGAGTGGTGTTCAAGATGGAGTGCCCAGATCCTTGAATAATGGCCCATGAGATTTAGGATTCTATTGAGGAATTCAACAGGTGAATGTTAGAGGCATGCACAAGGAGCGTGTTAATGTAAAGATCTTGCCTACTGCAAATTACTGGACAATTCAAACAGATGTTGGTTGTTTTATTGAAGGAATTGTGTCGCTGGGGTGTGTCATAAAAGACCCAAATACCAATATTTTCTTTGCTACCTCCAAATATACACTACTAGAAAATTTGTCTTTTGTGACCCAATTAGAGATCGAAAAAACTTAAAAATCAATCACTATAACGTTTTGCAACTGATTTATTGACTATCAATTTTCAATTGTAAAAGTGCTAGTCGCTAAGCTTTTATGATGAATTTAGTGACATAAATTTAGAGATCGGATTTGTGACTGAATTTAGAGATCAAATTTAGTGATCGATTTTAGTGATATTTTTTATAAAATAAAATTAAAAGTTGTTAGATTAGAAAGTCAAACTTATTACCTCCAAGTAGTTTAGTTAGGCCTTACCACTAGACCACTTAATATCTTTTATTATGTTTTCTATATTTAAATATATACATATAAAAAATTAGTTTTTTTAAATAATATTTAGAATATTATTAATTATTATTTAATTTAATTAGATATATTGAAAATAAAATTTGATTTTATTAATATAATTTAATTATGCAAATATAAAATTGCACAATAAAAATAAAATTCAAGTTTACCGTACATATAAAAATAAAATCGCATAATTGGTTATATCATTATATGTTTTATTTGTTAAAATAATAAACAGGTGAAACTTTTACTTCTTTATATAAATCAAATTTTACATAAAATTAAGTTTTTAGGGGCGAATAGACCGTCATAAAATTTAGTCGCTAAATCAGTGTGACGGATGTTAATTTACTGACATTTCTAAAAGTTTGTTCATGAATATTAAATTTTGGTGATTAATTTAGTAATTATAATAATCGAAATTTTTCAATCACTAAACATAAATTATTTAGTAGTGGTCCCTCTAGTCATGTTGACGCCAGTACGGAGGAAGTTTTAGCTATCCGACAGAGTCTTGATCTGGTGAAGGAGGTGAAGATTAACAAAATCTAGAATAATATAATAATTTATCATATATTGCGGATTTTATTATTAAAGTGGATTTTGCAATTTCTAAGAGTGAAGGAATGCAACAACACTGGAATAATAAAATAATAAGCATTTGAGAGGATGAAATTATTTTGAAGTTTAAGAAAATTATAAAAGTACAAGCCTTATAGTTGCAAATACATTAAATTATTTTATTCCTACATATACCAACATTTACATATCCCTGATGATAGACACCTTGGTCTTTTTGGACGTATGCAGTTAGTCATTTGTCTAGCACATGTTCTATGAGATTGGCATATGATAACTCCAATGACAAGTCCTGTGACGTTAAATTAAATTTAAAAACAAAAAGGAAAATGATTAAGAATAAATTTGAAAATAAATTGCAAAATTGAACTTACCATCTGTTACAACGATAAACATGAAAAGAAGAATAATCATGAAATAAGCAAACTTAAGAATCCGTGCCATGTGTTCTCTCATTTACAAGTTGAAGTATACATTTGCATAATTATTTTATCGTGTGAAAAATTGCATTCTTCAAATTAGAATTATTTAAATTAGAATTATTGATTAGTGTCTCTTGACGCTTGGTAGAATTCATTCAAATATTTTAATATTTTTTTCTCTATTTTTATTTTTATAATTAAAGTTGGCTTAAATAAACTTTTAATTTTCAACTTTGATTGTTTTCAACTTTTAATTTCTCTGTTTTAAAAATCAGTTTTTTGATGTTTGAACGTTATATAATTTTATATTTAACTAGTCCCTTCCAATTGAATAGACGTAGCGTTCATTATTTTTAATGAGTTGTTAATATTAACTAAAATAATTTATTATTTAATATTTATTTACAGAATTAATTCTATAAATAATCAATTATTAATTAATTTTATAAACAAATATTAAATAATAAATTAACATAGTCAACATTACTAATACATTAAAATTAAAATTTATATCATAATAATTAATGTCATGTTTGTAAAATTGGAGAGAGGTCAACTAAATTTTAAGTTATGTAAAGTTTAAAAATCAAAAAATTAATTTTTAAAATGACAGACTAAAACTAATAATTATTAAAATTGAAGGACCAAAATATGTATTTAAACAATTATAGTTTTAGTATACCTCTATTTTCACATGCACATGAAATTGTTTACGCCATTTTCAAATTACATTATTTAATATCTCTCTCTTGATTTACTTGACATGCTTTAGCTGACATTACATATAAAATGTTGGTGTAACGTAATTTAGATAAATTAATTAGGGTTTTAAGCTCTCACGAATTTAGCAAACGAGATTTAATCAAACATGATAACAAAAAAGTTACGCTAATGAGATTATAGTTAAGGATCATGCAATAATCAAATTTAATCAACTCTATCCTAAAAGCAGCATTTAAATTAAGCAAATGAAAGCAATTGAATTAAGAAAATAAATTTATAAGAAAAATTGAAATTCGAATACAGCGAATCAGCTCTTGGAATTAGTTCTCTGTGAAAATTACAAAGTCAAGCTAAACTCGTGAATCGTGATTAGGATGAATGAACTGTAGTTGCGACTGAACTAGGCTAAAGGAAATAAGGATTCGTGTCCTAAATCAAACTGGATCAGAAAATATAAAAATCGGCCCCAAACTAATTATTTTCTAATGTATGAAACTTAAACGATCTATTGGAGTCATCTACACTCCGAATCTACTTCAGACTTCAACATAAAACTTTTAGCTTATCGTCTCATATTTTCCAACGCTTATTAGAACGCATCAATCTGATTCTTGTAGCTCAAGTTATGGTCTACACAGTGAAGAGGTATCAAATAACAATTTAAGCTGAAAATAAAGTACAAAAATAAAATAAAGTCAGAAATAAACTTAAATATAAAAATACACTAAAATAGTAAAAATAATAAAATAAACTATAGAGTTGCCTAAGTATAATAGTAGAAGAAAGTACATCAAAATACACTGATAAAATTCTCCCACACTTGAACTTTTGCACTTCAAGCAAAATTATAATTTCAAAATTCAAATAGAAAAATAAGAGCAAAACAAAACATACAATTCTAAGGATT